GCCGGTTATTTTCGTCGGATTGACTGGCATGCTACCCGTAAGTTTGCTGCTTCCTGTGCGGAAGCTAGGACCTTGGCTTGTGGTGCCACTTTCTCTCCTGCTGCTCTTGGTGGTCGGATGCCTCATCGTCCTTCCACCATGTGCATTTGGGATGGTTGCACTGAACTTGGCACGTTTGATCACATTGCATGGGAGTGTCCTCGTCGCCCTTGTAACATTCCTAAACCTGCCGAGTTTTTGTCTTCTCGGTATGGTTGGGTCGTTACAAATCAAGTTTGTGACATTGATGCTGTGCATGGTTGGTTGGTTCATGTGCAAGAGACGCCTTGGTCCCTTGTCCATCCATGACTTGTGCTTGTTTGTATCATGGTCCTAGTCACCTTCCGGCTTATTGGTCTTGCCCACTTGCACACTCTTTGGGGTTGCCTTGCCTTCGTGGGCTTCCCCTCTGGGTTTGGCTTGGTTTGTTTGGGTCTTTCCCCCCCTTGGTTTCCTTTTTGCGGTGTTGGTTGGTTTTTCGCTGGGCTGTTTGCACCTTTGGTGTGGTCTGGGCGCCTTGGCCTCCCGACGCCATGGAGTCGTTTGTTCCCGTTGGGCCTTTGCCCTCGGTGTTCGTGGCGTGCTTTCGTGGTGGGCTGCTGTGGCTGCTGCTGTGGCTGCCCCCTCGATCTGCGCTGTCTATTTGGGGGCAGTTCAGATCAAAGTTCACACAGTCACTGCAGAATTCTCAGGTTTTCTGTCAGAGCGCCATCGAAAGCGCGCAAAACGACCACTCAACAAAGTGTCAAGCAATTTTGGCTGACAAGGACCGTCTCCGAAGAACAGCCTGGTAGAACAGTAGACCAGACGTATGTGCAGACCAATCGGGCAGCACAGCCATGGCAGAAGACTGAATAACTCGCAGTTTTTGGCGCCCCCCCTTCAACAATTTTTAGGATAGTCAACTTAAGTAAAGGATTTCAATTGAAATCAATTTGCTTTCAATTGATATCAGTTTTCTTTCAATTGATTTCAAGTTACTTTCAATTGAAACCAATTTACTTTCAATTGATTTTCAATTGACTTCAATTGCTTTTCAATTGATTTCAATTTACTTTCAATTGATTTTGAATTCTTTCAATTGATTTCAATTTACTTTCAACTGCTTTTCGGTTGATTTCAATTTACTTTCAATTGATTTTGAATTCTTTCAACTGATTTCAATTTACTTTCATATGGTTTTCAATTGATTTCAATTTACTTTCAATTGGTTTTCCGTAAAAATTACACCAAAAGTTTTGTGCACAATAAAGTACCATCCAAACAATTACATTATTGAGGATCTCGGTCACTCATGGGGTACCCTCTTGAAAAATTGTTTGGGTGCTGTTTTTCGACAAGGGTTTAATAAGGCATCTAATTATTTGGAAAACCTTGCGTTTTCAAGGTTTTAACACAGATATGGCTTTCTAAAGTAAATGGACCAACTTTACCCAAAGAAAGGTGAATAGAATGTTTTTTTTTCACCCCAAAAGTTGTTGTGCACAATAGAGTACCATCCAAACAATTACATTATTGAGTATCTGGGCCACTCATGGGGTACCCCCTTGAAAAATTGTCTGGATGCTGTTCTTTAAGAAGGAGTTAATAAGGCATCTAATTATTTGGAAAACATTGCATTTCAAGGCTTTGACATGGATATGGCTTTCTAAAGTAAAGGGCCAGCTTTACCCAAAGAAAGGTGTAGACATTGCTTTTATTTTTTTTCAACCCCAAAAGTTGGTGTGCACAATAGAGTACCATCCACATAATTATATTGTTGAGGATCTCGGTCACTCATGGGGTACCCTCTTGAAAAATTGTTTGGGTGCTGTTTTTCGACAAGGGTTTAATAAGGCATCTAATTATTTGGAAAATCTTGCGTTTTCAAGGTTTTAACACAGATATGGCTTTCTAAAGTAAATGGACCAGCTTTACCCAAAGAAAGGTGTAGAAATGGCTTTGTTTTTTTGACCCCAAAAGTTGGTGTGCACAATAGAGTACCATCCACATAATTATATTTTTGAGGATCTGAGCCACTCATGGGGTACCCCCTTGAAAAATTGTCTGCTTGCTGTTTTTTTAATAAAGGTGTAATAAGGCACCTAATTATTTGGAAAACATTGCGTTTCAAGGCTTTGACATGGATATGGCTTTCTAAAGTAAAGGACCAGCTTTACCCAAAGAAAGGTGTAGAATTTTTTTTAACCCCCAAAGTTGGTGTGCACAATAGAGTACCATCCATACACCAACTTTTGGGGTTAAATAATATTTTTGAGGATCTGAGCCACTCATGAGGTACATCCTTGAACAATTGTCTGGATGCTGTTTTTTAATAAGGGTTTAATAAGGCATCTAATTATTGGGAAAAGTGAGAAAATTGGATCTGGGAAAAAAACATATAAAAAATAATAAATGAGAAAACTGAAAAATTGAAACATCTGGGAAAATAAAAACATGAAAAATGGGGAACAAAAAATGGAAAAATCTGAAAGAAAACTTTTTACAATAGAGGCTCCCCCACCCGAACACCATGGTACTCAATTAGGAAGCAAAAACTTGCCACAATAGGGTACGATCACACTAATCGGGTGCCAACATTATTTGCAATGGAGGTAACGAAAATGTCTCCCCCACAGATCTTAACAGATTCCGCCTGACGGACCTAGGACCTAGTGTCAATATGTTAACGGCATGTGGTGCAGGAGATGCACATTGAAAAGATCAAGGATCTCTTTCAAGAGATCGATGAGGAGCACACCGGGATCATCACCTACGAAACCTTTCAGCAGAAGATGCACACCCCTGAAGTCCGAAGCTGGTTGGTGGTTTCAAGGCATCTTTTTTTTTTGGTTTGGATTTCCACCACTCTTTTGGGAAGATTCTTCCCCGAGGTGTCTGTAAGATTTTTCCCAATGCGCCGGTGGCTCAGCCAGTCACCCAGGAACATACTTTGAGACCATCGACCTTGATGTTTGGGATGCCTGGAGTTTCTTCAAACTCCTTGACCTCGACGAAGGCAGATGGAAGAGTAACAGCCGTACTGCAAGAAAAAGCGAGGGTCGATACTCGAGACTCGAGCTGCTGTAAAAAATTGGAGTTCCTTTAAACAAGTCCAGGTGGTCCTTTTTGTTTCACAGTAAAATGGAAATGCCACGTATCAAGTGAACAGAAAGCATCGCAAAGCACCCTGACATTGACAGGCGGGTCTGTAGAAATCGAGGCGCGGGAATGTGAGGTACCAGCCGCACCAGCCCGCCCGCAAAACTAGTGATCATTCTCCTTGGATTGACATTTTTGGCCCCAATGCCCCTAGCACACGACATCAACCATGCTTCTGAAGTTGGCTGACCATGTTTGTGAACCTTCCAAAATTTCGAACATTTTCCAACCCACCGGTGGGAGTGGACACTTTCTGCGTTCTTCCAAATATCACGAGGCTTTTGCCGTGATTTCTTTCAATGGGTATGGCCCGATATTGTTAAACATGCGCAGAACATTTCATGTCTCAATGCTAAGAATTGCGTCATTGAGTCATACATGGCTCGTTGCCTGCCAAGAAGTACATGGGCCAAGCCCCATCAGGGACCCTTCTGGGGAACATGCCAACATCAGAATAGTGGGACCCATTTCCAGCTGTTCTTATATTTAACAGCCTTCGGCATTCCGCGGGCCCTCTGGCCTTCGGCCTACAAGGCCCAAAGCAGGCAGGGGTTGTGTAAAGCTGGTTGGTGTAAAAGGTGGTTTGCGTAAAAGGTGGCCTGTCTAAAACAGCTGGTTTGTGTAAAAGCTGGTGTGTGTAATTAAAAGCTGAATTGTGCAAAAGCTTGTTTGTAAAAGTTGGTTGGTACAAAAGGTGGTTTGCGTAAAAGGTGGTTTTTGTAAAAGTTGGTTTGTGCAAAAGCTGGTGTGTGTAAACGCTGAGTTGTGTAAAAGCTAGTTTGTAAACGTTGGTTGGTGCAAAAGGCAAAAGGTGGTTTGTGTAAAAGCTGGTTGGTCGAAAAGTTGGTTTGTGAAAAAGCTGGTGTGCGTAAAAGCTGATTTGTTACAAGCTGGTTTGTAAAAGTTGGTTGGTGCAAAGGTGGTTTGTGTAAAAGCTGTTGGGTCGAAAAGTTAGTTTGTGTAGAAGCTGGTGTGTGTAAAAGCTCGTTTGTGTAAGGGCTGGTTGGTGTAAAAGGTGGTCTGTGGAAAAGCGAGTTTGTGTAAAAGCAGGCTTCTGTAGAAGCTGATTGGTGAAAAAGTAAGTTTTCGCAAAAACGTGTTTGGCGATATTTGGTCTAAAAGAGTGTTTGTGTAAAAGCTGGTTGGCTGAGATTGAACAGAAAAGACCCAAGTTGGTAGTTGCAAGCGTCAAGTGGCATGGCTGCGAGAGTGCGTGCGGAGAAGGCCGTGAGTGCAGAGGAAGAGCAGGAGTGGCAGCCGAGTGGCAGGTGCTTATGGAAAGTGTTGGTCGCAAAAGCGGCAGGTTAGTACGTGCTTCTCCCTGTTACGGGCAGAAAGCCATGGAGAAAACGTGGAAAATGCTGCATCCCAGGGGCGAGCCGGAGGAACGAAAGAGAGGACGGACATGGGAGGATGAAGGAGGATGAAGGAGGATGAAGGAGGATGAAGGAGGATGAAGGAGGATGAAGGAGGATGAAGGAGGATGAAGGAGGATGAAGGAGGATGAAGGAGGATGAAGGAGGATGAAGGAAGAGAACAGGGGATGATGATGATGATGAGGATGATGATGATGATGATGAAGATGATGAAGATGATGCTAAAGTTGATGATGATGATGTTTTACTACTACTACTACTACTACTACTAGTACTACTAGTACTACTACTACTACTACTACTATTATCCGCACCTGGTGATACAGACTATTTTCCTGGGAACCCATTACCAAAATTAATAATTTTGAAATCACTTTTTTGCACATGCTACATCCATGCGTCCGTTTGAACCCAGAAAAATAATGTTGGTTCAAATTATTTCAAAAATATATTCCTGTGGTGTACAAATGTTCAGCAACAGGAAAATAATTTTCATGGGGGGGAGTTCACTAGAACATATATGTACGTCAAACCCCAGGGAAAAATGGTGCTAAAATGGTTATAATGCTGAATTTGCATAGGTCAGACATAGGATATTTATTTCCAAATGCATGTTTGATGTGACAAACGGGCGCTCTCAAAAGGTGAAATGCAAGTTCAAAGGTCAAAAGTAATAACAGACCCGAACTATTCCATTCAAACCACTGAATTCAACACTCCGACTGGCTCAAAATTTGTAAAGCTGAAGACACATTTGCCTTGCAAAAGGGTGCGGACACATATGTTCAGCTTCACCAACCAAAAAAGTGGCTTGAAGAGGCCGAGGCGCAGGTGTCAAAAATAAAACCCAAGGGGCTGGACCATTTTTTGGCTGAATACTTGCGGGTGATCTTCAAAGGTTGGCCCCACAGGGAAAAAGTCGCATCACCAGGCTAATCCTCCATAAATAGGGTATGATAGGACAAATTCGAGAATTTTGTGTCAACGCGCACCCAAATTGCAAAACATTTTCTTTTTTGCTGAAAATTCATTTGTCCCCGCAAAAGGGTGCAAACACATATGTTCAGCTTCGCCAACAAAAAAGTGACTTCAAGAGGCCGAGGCACAGGTGTCAAAAATCAAGTCCAAGGGGCTGGACCTTTTTTTGGCTGAATTCTTCAAAGGTTGGCCCCACCGGGAAAAAGTCGCATCACCAGGCCAACCATCCATAGATAGGAAATGATGGGACAAATTCATAGAATGCGCACCTTGGGTCCCAGGAAATTAGTCTAGTAACAGCATATCTTGAGGGGCAGTTTGTTGAGCATTGTATGAGGGTTGGCACCCAGATATTGAATTAATAACAGAGGGGAAAAAATACCTTTCTGGAAACCTTAGGCGCCAGGAAATTAGTGCCTGCAAACTTCATTCGTCTGAGTATGTAAATTCCGGCAAGAAATGTCAGGCACCAGGATTTTAATTTCAAAAAGGTCAGGACCCAAAGTAACCCAGGAAGAAGGTCAGGACCCAAAAAGTAACCCAGGACAGGACTTCGGGGGTGCACCAGATGGGGATCTACTACTGCCACTATTACTATTAGGATTACTATTGCTATTATCATTATTATTATGATTACTACTACGGCGACGACGACAACGACAACAAGGACGATTATGTACTGGGAGAGAGCAAAAATCCGTCGAAGGAACAATCTACAGCTGAAACTAAAGCCAACACAAGATGTATCACAACATCAACAACATCCACACAACACGCCGGCAGGCCGGCGGAGTATGATCATGTCATAGCAATATCATGCGTCACGCCCGACAGAGAGAGGGAGAGAGAGAGAGTTTTCACATGGTTTAGCCAGCAAATGATAGGGGGACCACCCTGCCCCTTCCATCAGTTTTCCACTGCTGTCTGCGTTCACAGGAGTTTTTGATGGGTTGCTTGCGCCTACGTGGCTCCGCAAGATCCATGGATGTGGCCAAACTGATGTACGACCAGGTCATGGTTTTCGAACTTTTGGGCATTTCGGGGGACGAAGTGCCGAAAGAAACGGTGGACAGTTTTGTATGAGGGAACCTCTTGCGAGTATTCTCCTGTGCTCAGGTCAGCTTAACTTTTCCATCTAGAGAAGTCTTGTGAGACAGCGGAATCACTTCGGTTTTCATTTTTGCTTGGATGAACGGAAAGCATGCCCGCCAAAATATGGTGTTTTGGCTTGGGGTCAGGCCTGGCTCATCAAGAATCAGGGCCAGTTTTGGGCTTTCGTGGAGGACACTGAAAAGTACAGTAGCAGTTGGAGAACGCTTTGGAATGACTTGAGGGGCACCTTATGCTCTACCCCAAACTGATCAGCCAAGGTTTAGGCTTCCAGGTTGAGGTTCTATCATTCCATTGATTCTGATCGATTGTGATTGGACAAATGTATTGTGACTCCCCTGGCCGGAGGAAATTGGATTTCCGCACCCAGTAGTCAATTTGACCGTGGTTTCAATGGCATGCCGAAATGAACGTCAAAAGTCAAACGGGTGTTGTGCCTGAGATCGTGAATTGTTTCGCATGTTTCGCTACATGTAAGTGACTTACCTATTCCCGAGCCCTGCCGACAATCGAATGTTTTGGGAGATATGTGCACCCAAATGCCAAAGATCCCAATCCAAATCTCCATGGACTTTTGAGTGCAGGAGCGGTTGAGGATGCTTCTAAAAGAAGTCTCGTCATCGAATGCGAAATGCTCTGATGTGGCTGATGTGGCTTACAGGCAACTTTTGTAGAATGAGAATGATAAACCAAAAAATAACAAGTAGAGCATAGTAGAGCCCGGGCAAGCCGGCTGGCGGAACTTTCGAAGAATTCTCAAGAGGGTTGAGGCCTACAAAGAAAAGCAAGAACCTATAGGAACGGAGCGTGATCACCTGGTTGCCAAAGTTGTTGTTTGTTTCAGCTCTTTTGACATGATCCTTTCTCTTGACAACTCTTTCCGATGCCAGCTTTTTGTTAGTTTGGACCTATTTTTCTCTTCGACGTTCTTTTTTGATGTCTCCACTTTCTCTTGATTCCAATGCGAGCTGCAGTCAACCATCTCATTGACCATGGAGGACGTGTTCGATCAGTCCCGATCGTGGCGCCACACCCGTTGCACCAACAGGCTTCCCCACATCGACGCGGAGACGCGCTTTGTGCGGAAAAACATAAGGTTCTGTGACTTCCGTGATGTTTTGTGCAATTTCCAACCAGAGATCGCCCGGACGAAGCCATTCGATTGCTGCCATGGCTGGCTGACGCTGGCTGCAAATCGCAATGGAACAAAGGCAGCCAGAACAACAAAGAAGAACATTGACGCAGCCATTCCATTGCAAACTGCAAGCCCGGATCACCAAACACAATGGCATGGCGCAATCAGTCATCTCATTGACATACCTCAAATTCAGCTTTACAATAGAGGACGCGTTGGAGGACATGTGCCCACTCTGAGCGCAACGCCGTGCCCGTCGCACCAAGAAGGGTCCACATCGACGCGGAGACGCGCTTTGTGCGGGTAAGCATTGGGCTTCGTGCGATTCCTAACCTTCAAACGCCGCTTCGACGAAGTAACTTGTTTGCGCCGTACAATCACTGGCTTGCAAATCACAATGGAAAGGGTAGCCACTGCAGCAATAATGTCAACCCCGGATTAAAAAACCATGGTTTATTAATTAGGGGGTATTCCCCCAATTGTTATGATTTGATAGTGAAATGGTACCTTCCCAATTAAACAGCCTAGGGTTTATTAATCCAGGGTTGACGTCTACATTTCTCAATTTTCTTCACTTCTCTACTGTCCTTCACTTCTCTACTGTCCTTCCTCTAGTCCTCAGACTTTCCTACTCTTCTCTACCCTCTTCACACCTCTACTTTCTTCACATCTGTACTTTTGTCGCTTCCCTACTTCCAACAACATTTTAAGACTTCGCAACAGGGATTTTTTCGTGAGATGATGATCACGTGTGTTCCGGGGGGTTGAAGGTTCAAGCGGCGAGCCAGTCACATCCTTATTAGAAAGGTTGCGTAGCAGAATTCTCCTTCAACTGGTACCCTTGGCTGTGACTGCTGCACCTGGAACAACTGATATCAAGCCATGCCAGTGGTATACCTACGTATATATTGCATTCAGGTTCAAAGAGGTTCAGGAGAGGTGCAAGAGCGGGTCAACAGAGGTTAGCTTCTTTGGCCAGTTTTTGGCCAAGGACAGTTTCAGAGTCAGGCCGTTACTGCGCAGCAGATGCTTGCGTGCTGGGCCAGTCAACACAGCTTTGACTGGTGCCAAGAGAAACGCAGAAGGACGTCCAAGGAGAATGCGACCGAATGGTACATTCTCTTCATTGGGCATGGAATTTAAAATTTCTGCAGGTGTCTTCTCTTTGGTTACGGTGCTGTCATCATGGATATGCAGTCCGCAGATACCCAGGGAATGATATTCCAGCAACGCAGCTAACTTATCAGCTATATTCAGGTATCCAGTGCCTGGTGGGCTTGCAGTTCAAGAACATGCAAGGACTGTTGATTTCATAACACTCACTCGGCTCCAAGAAGATCCAAGAAGAAATCTAACAGTGAAGCACCAATTCCATAAGTCATTTTATCAGGCACTGTCCTTCCTTCCTTTCTCGTTGGCAGCTGTATCTACCAATCAGAACAGGTCGAATTGTAGCCAGTTGAAGAGGACACCAAGCAACAGCGTCCTATCTCTGCATGGGTCCGCAGTCTCGTGTTTATGCCTCACTGGAAAAAGAACTTGAGTGAGGTAGATTGGGGGGATCCTCACCATGGGTTTCCATACGAAAATAGTCTAATTTTGGATGATTTGGGGGTATACCCATTTACAGTACAGAAACCCTATGAAACTCTCATTTGAGTCGCCACCAACACCCTTGGTGGTTTGATATGTTTGATGTGATGGGTCATGATAGGTCCATGCTACGCCAGGGGTGAGCATTGTGGGCATTGCTAAGAGCTCCTGGATCCAATTCATCATTGTAAGATACTCATGCGTATACTATTATACTCTTTGCAAATGCATATTTCCACATAACCCACACCCACACACTCACGCACACACACACATGAATATAATATGACAAAGATATAGTAATATTTATATATACACCACATCATTATAGACTATGGCAGATTAAATTGATATTGATTGGTATATATAGTCGTATATAGTCACAGATTTTTAGACACATTGGAATGGCTCAAAAGTTCGACACTTGCAGGCCGAGCGAGTGGAGCAAGTGGCTTTGCTGGCAGAGAAACAGGCGAAGGAGGCGGGAGATGAAGCCAACCAAATGGTGGGAGATGGGTAGGGTATGACATAAACCCTTACCCTCTGGGAAATTAACAGTTGGACCCTGAAACATAACAATTTTTTAGTGGAAACTAATCTTCCAACCCCTATCTGGCAGGGTCTATGTCAATTTATTGGAGGATATATATATATATATATATAACAATACACAACCAACACACATGGAATTGCTGGCAGCTGCCGTTGAAGCTCATCCAATTGACTGCTTGAAAGCTCCATCCATCGAACCAACATCCTGCCGCGTCGGGAACTGAACGTGTAGTCGTTGCGATTTTATGAATTCATCAACTTTGAGAAACGTGGTATTTACAGTGTTTTTGACACCTTGGCAAGCACAAAATGCCCTCTGTTTTCTGAGGTAAAATTGTATTAATTTTTTTGGGGGTCCGAAAAACGAAACATTTTGTTCTGAACATGCAGCAACAGTTATTTTACCTCAGTTCTGTGACATTGAACTCGCATGAATTTCTTTTTCCTTATTCACCTGAGTCGATTAAGTTCCTTTCCAGCAGCCACAAACAGGTGAGAGACATGAGACCCCGTGAATCTCCATTGCCTGGGTTCTCTGAGGTTAAATCGCATTTTTCATGTTTTGAGGAGTGCCAAAAAAAACCATTTTTGAAACAAACTATTTTATCTCAACTGTTTGACGTTTGAACTCGCGCGAATTTTGTCCTCCTTCACCTGAGCTTGAGTTCGTTTCCAGCAGCCACAAGCAGGTTAATGACATGAGAGTGCGTGAATCTCCATTGCCAAGCACGAATACTAATTTCAATTTGGGGTGACTTGGAGCTGAGACTGGCAGGATATTCTTTCTCAAGTGAACCCAGGCACTGTTAATGGTAGCGTAGTATCAAAAGTATCAAAAGCTTGTCAGAAGTTTCTTGAGAAAGCCCATGGAGTAACATCAAGAGCGCATCAAATATTACTTGAGAAAGTCCATAGCATAGCAGCAAAAACATATCAAAAGTTACTTGAGAAGTCCATAGCGCAACATCAAGCGCGTGTCAGAAGTTTCTTGACAAAGTCCATAGCGTAGCATCAAGAGTGTGAGAAGTTTCTTGCGAAAGCCCACGGAGTAACATCAAGAGCGCGTCAAATATTGCTTGAGAAAGTCAAGAGCGTAGCATCAAAAGCGTGTCAAAAGTTACTTGAGAAAGTCCATAGCGTAGCATCAAGAGTGTGTGAGAAGTTTCTTGCGAAAGCCCATGGAGTAACATCAAGAGCGCGTCAAATCTTACTTGAGAAAGTCCATGGCGTAGCATAAAAAGCATGTCAAAAGTTACTTGAGAAGTCCATAGCGCAACATCAAGAGCGTGTCAGAAGTTTCTGGACAAAGTCCACGGCGTAGCACCAAGAGTGTGTGAGAAGTTTCTTGCGAAAGCCCATGGAGTAACATCAAGAGCGCGTCAAATATTGCTTGAGAAAGTCCATAGCGCAGCATCAGGAGTGTGTGAGAAGTTTCTTGCGAAAGCCCATGGAGTAACATAACATCAAGAGAGTGTCAAAAGTTACTTGAGAAAGTCCATGGCGTAGCATCAAGAGTGTGTTAGAAGTTTCTCGAGAAAGCCCATGGAGTAACTAACATCAAGAGCACGTCAAATATTACTTGAGAAAGTCCATAGCGTAGCATCAAAAGCACGTCAAAAGTTACTTGAGAAGTCCATAGTGCAACATCAAGAGCGTGTCAGAAGTTTCTTGAGAAAGTCCATAGCGTAGCATCAAGAGTGTGTGAGAAGTTTCTTGCGAAAGCCCATGGAGTAACATCAAGAGCGCGTCAAATATTGCTTGAGAAAGTCCATAGCGTAGCATCAAAAGCGTGTCAAAAGTTACTTGAGAAGTCCATAGCGCAACATCAAGAGCGTGTCAGACGTTTCTTGACAAAGTCCATAGCGTAGCATCAAGAGTATGTGAGAAGTTTCTTGCGATTGCCCATGGAGTAACATCAAGAGCGCGTCAAATATTATTGGAGAAAGTCCATAGCGTAGCATCAAAATCGCGTCAAAAGTTACTTGAGAAGTCCAAAGCGCAACATCAAGAGCGTGTCAGAAGTTTCTTGACAAAGTCGATAGCGTAGCATCAAGAGTGTGTGAGAAGTTTCTTGCGAAAGCCCATGGAGTAACATCAAGAGCGCGTCAAATATTGCTTGAGAAAGTCCATAGCGTAGCATCAAAATCGCGTCAAAAGTTACTTGAGAAGTCCATAGCGCAACATCAAGAGCGTGTCAGAAGTTTCTTGAGAAAGTCCATAGCGTAGCATCAAGAGTGTGTGAGAAGTTTCTTGCGAAAGCCCATGGAGTAACATCAAGAGCGCGTCAAATATTGCTTGAGAAAGTCCATAGCGTAGCATCAAAAGCGTGTCAAAAGTTACTTGAGAAGTCCATAGCGCAACATCAAGAGCATGTCGAAACACAGGCGAAAGAACGTTATCATCTTCCCGCCCCCATCTTTCCACCCCACTTGCGCAAAATGCAACATCATATCAATTGCATCAACAAGAGCCACCGAGTTGAAATCTTGTTGCAAAAATCCACCAAATAGAAAACGTGCACGCCTACACGTGCGGTATTCGATCCAATCACCTAATCATCTCTTCTTCATTGATCACATTTGTTTGGAATGATCTCTTGACAATTGTTTGAAAAGGGATGAAGTTTCCAGAGAAGGTGATCCATCATTTCCACATATTTCCACTATTAGGTTTTTAATATAGTCTAGTTATATTTCCATTCCCATTTTGTTGGTCTATTGTTGCTTCGTTCCCGTTTGAAATTGATCGATCTTATAATATCCATGATATTCTTTGGGTAAACCCATTTCTGTTGATGGTTACACCGTTTTATATAAGTCATTATAACTCATTATAATATACCCCATTCATGATTGGCCAGCCCCGTGACATGTGAAAATGGCCTCCCACCTTAAATGGTGGGATTAACATGAATGCAATGTATGAAGCATGTTCAATGGTGGTATCAAGCATTCACCATTTACTTTGCTGACGGTACCAACCATTCACATCATCCCATTGAATACTGTTCTTCAAACCATTAATAATTTACTAGTAGCATCATGTATGAGTGCTGAAATTTGCCATTAACAAATTTAACCACTAACCATTCCAATTTGTACATCATCCACTTAAATGGTGCCAGAATCATTCACAGTCCAATGACTAAACCAATAGCGATTAACAATGGTTCGCCAATAACCAACATGACTAACCAACTGATCATTGAAACCCATGAAGTGGTTGGTCTGTTGGTCATATAACCCAGTCCTTGGTGCAAGGCCCATCAGCAGCTGGCCGCGGAGTTGCAGAGCAGCGAGCTGCGCCGCGCCGCAGCGGAGGAGCAAGCGCGGCAGCGTCAAACGCAGGCGCGGCGTCGCGGCGTCGCGGCACCAGGATTTTTCATGTTTTTTGGGAGTTTTGGATGGTTTTGATATATTTTGATGGGTTGAATCTTGGAATTATGGAAAATGATGGCTTAATTCTTGTTGGAGTTGATTGTGCATGGTTTATTTGCCTGAAATTTCTTTGACAAAAGCGATGAATTGATTTTTTTGGGTGCAAGTGCAGCCGCTAAATGCCCCAATCCCAGATATTTTGATGAGGCTTTGTGACCAGGGTTGGGAAGCCCATGTGATGACGGGCCTGGACAGCAGGGGCATTTGGGAGCTGTTGCTTGCACGGTCTTGCACCGTCCTGGCAGGAAAATGTTATGATCTTCAAGCTGAAGAGCCTGTTCAGTCAGCTGGGATTGGAGAGCCCGCACGGTAAGCAGGTGGCCCATTCAGTGGCATTGAGGGGGATCAAAGGTTGGTCAACCTGGTTATTTTATTTTCAAATTTGCCCAAGCTGCTCTTCGATGTTCGAGCCCGTGAACTGTGAGCAAAGCTTAAGCCCATACCTTTATTATCCTTTCATCTAGGTCTAGGTGCTAGTGGAAGATTATTGTGGGTAGAGTCAGTGTGGAAAACACATGTTTGGCTGAAGCTGGGAGATCTGACAGGGCGTGGACTGCTTCATCGACAGCTTGCAGAAATTTCTAGCGGATGCGGGATATCCTTTGTATCTCGGTTTGCTGAAGTGGGTATGGATCAATACCTATACATACCATTCTTAGGGGGATGAACATCCATTTACCAGCTATTTTGATGTTCACCAGGGGTACAAGGTTTTGACACACTGCCAAGTGACTTTTTTAGCCGCGAGATTCACGCGAAAAAATGATTCGTTTGCTGCTAGTGCAGCCCGAGGAGGAGGGTGAAGCCCTCGCCCATTCCAGAAGCGCTTCCAGAGAAGATCCCCGAGGGAGAGGTGCCACAATGAGGGAAGAATCACAGCACAATTTCAGACACTTTTTTTAAAAGGAAAACTGAAGATCAACCTATGGCACCACTGATGGAATTACACTTTGGGAATCATGGAAATGATCGACCTCGACTTTCTGGTAAATCATGTGGAGGAATGAGTGGCTCTGCAATTTCCATTTCCATGTTGGATCAATGATACTGAGATCTTGAGGCATGCCGTCCGGATGTGCTTTATGATCTTTATATAATTATTCAGTTTTATAGTCTATATATATATATACTGATGATCATATTGTAGTACATTGTATGATACACCGATACACCATACTGTATCATGCGATTGGATAATTTCACAGCCCTGCAGGCCATGGCCAGCGCATCAAGCAGTGCTTGCAGTGCTTCGGCACTGCCTGCGGCTCCCAGCGTCGAAGGAGAAGGGGTCCCAGGCCTGGCAGCTCCAGTCATCTCCAGTCCCTGAATGTTTCTGAGAAACGCCTGGTGACGGATCAAACTCAGCCGAACTCGTCAAGAAACAGTCAAATCACCAATCACCAACTAAATCACTCTTTCTTCCGAATGTGTTCCAAGGAGACTCTGAGACTCGTTGAGTTTGGTGCTGGTGCCTATCCATGATCCATGGCAGCCTGGGTTCCACCTCAGCCCAGGCGATACCTGCAGTGCGAGCCTTTCAGCAACTCCAATGGCAACTGAGGAGATGTGGAAAGCGGGGGGAGGTTGGAAAGTGGGCCATCCACAGCAAGGGGCAAGTTCAGGGTCCAGAATCCTACATATTTCTATCATGCTCTATCCATTTCAAACCATAGTGAGGGGAGTTCAGGATTGAGACGTTAAACGCTTCACATTTGGTGGTAATCCAAAGCAGAAAGGTGATGTTGAAAGATGTGGAAAGAGGATATTTCTGCAACACTGTAGTTCACCTGCATGGAAGCCGAGTCACCAATGCAGCTTGGATCTCTGACAAGTTACCTCATCTTCAGTGCCTCCTTCAGCTGCAAGCATCAAGATCCATGTTTTGCCTAAGCATTCAACCCATGGCACCATGGCACCATGGCACCATGGCAGCAGTGCTGAGGAAGGACCAACCAAAGGCAGATATTCACCTATCGCACCTATTGCCTCATGGAGGTGCTCGGAAAATGTGAAAAGTCAGGACCTTTAGGCTTGGAATCACCCCCTTCCTAACCCCAAGAGCTACCAAACAAAATGCTACCAACATGTCCCCATCACTATCCATCACTCTAGTCTCCTAGGAAACAACCTCAGCAAGTTACATCAAAAATGCCTATAATGTTTGGCCATTTGCCATGGCTGTTGCTGGCATCTCCTTTTCTTTGGCCTCATCCTGCAGCGGCCTTCGACGATGAGTTTGCAGCGGCCTTCGACGATGAGTTGGACGACAGCCAGATGCACGCGGGAATGAGGCCAGATGAGCTGCGACAACTTCACCGAGAATTCGATCAGAATAAAGATGGCAAGGCAGGAGGGTTACTCTGGGTCAAAATCATGTAATATGGATTAATATGGTAATATATGGTACGCCTATGGTACGCCTCTACATCATCTTAAAGCTCATGGGATCAAAGCAACGCCGACCCCCCGCTGTGCCCGAGGTCTCCCTGGCGGAGATCATGGACTTTGCCCAGCACACTTCCAAGGCCATCGCCGCCAAAGATGTCGCTGGTTTGCTCGAGGCGTGGGATGCCGATGGAGATGGGCACCTCTCCCTTGAGGAGCACCTGGCAGCCAGTGGCGCTGGCGAAGCTGGCGAAGCTGGCGAAGCTGGCGAAGCTGGCGAAGCTGGCGAAGCTGGCGAAGCACGAGACACGGAAGAGGAGCCATTGTGCTGCGAGGGTGGATCGGGGGTCATCCCAAGAACGGCAGTTTTTTCCATGGTTTCTTCATCTCAATGCAACTCAAAACTAACTCAAAGCGCTCAAAGTCATTCGAAATTTTACCTGGAAATGAATGGGAATTTGGTATAAAAAACTGAGCTGAGATGCATGCGAAAAATGCCACAGATTGGCCTAATGGTGGCCCTCTTTCAAGACCTCAGATCCAGACTCAGCACACCAAAACAACTGGAACCCATCAAAGGCAGCAGATATGCAGAAGTCCTTCGCGCAGATGATACTCTGATTTTTGGGACACATACAGCAGTACTCTGCCAATCAATAAATTCTTGCACAAAGAGCAGCGGGACATAGCGGGACTTTGAATTTGAATTTTGAATATTTTGATGCATAAACATGCATAAACCATCATGAACCTCACACCCATCAAAAACAAATAAAAACAATCTATAGTACAGCAGTATAGCATCAAATGCGTCCTTCGATGGAATGCTTGCGTACAGAAAACAGAAAGCACCTGTTTGAGAACGCTTTCAGATAGTGTCAACAATGTCAACAACCATCGAAAAGTGCTTAACAGACTGGCAGCGGCCATAATGGCGACATGTGTGACAGATCGGAATTGTGGACAAAGCTCAAAACCAATGGATTCAATGGAAACTTTTTTTTTTTTTTGTTTCCCTCATCTCTATTGAAAAGATTTGAAAAGCAAAGCATTGTATGGACTTGAAGGTGACTCACATCCTCGGAAAAGGATAGAAGGCATTTCAAATGAAGGGATTGCGAATTCTCGAGATTCCGCTCACATTCATTGATCGCTCATACGCAAAGCCCTGTAAACCCTAAGAACTATATATCTAAAAACTAGTTATGACTCTGAAGGTTGAACTCTTCTCCAGTAACTCCTCGTACATATAGGTTAAACATGGTTAAACGTAATCTGATACTTCTTGGTCACCTTTGTCGAACCCACCCTGATGATTTGTTGCGACGTGTTCTGCTCGAATACACTTATTACACGCCCCACATGGAATACACTTATTACACGCCCCACATGGAGCGTTGAAGACCTGGAACACCTCGAACTTCTTGGCTACTACAATCTTGCAAAGATGATCAAAGCGGGTTTTGGATTTTAAGGTCGCAATGAAGAGTGTGACTGCAACAATCCAGAGCACCAACATTTTGTAATCACAAAGGCGCTCGATTGTCAAGCGTTTTTTGACTAATGATTAAAGCTATACTAATGATAGTATCAGCGAACGTGCTCGCCAAACAAAGATCTCGTCACCGAACTTTGTCACCAAATCACATCCTGACTACAGTCATGATGATTGTTTCATATTGATTGGCTTATTTGTTCCTTAAATGTTTATTGGTTGGCTTATTTGTTCCTTAAATGTTGCACTGGTTACTGTAGTAGCTTAGAATGTTCGGTCTCTATACGGCTCCCCCTACGGTGTGAAGGCGGGTGCTGGCTATGTGAAAGGCGCTGTATCTTTTCAGACACTTTTGCAAAATCTTAATTCGTTCTCCTCAGCGGATGCCTTTTTCTTTCTTGCTCATACTTTACACGGTTTCAATGGCTACTTGTAGGTTTCTGTGCGCGGACTTTTGTAGTGTGCACGTGGCAAACATAAGCTTGACGCACGGCCAAACGGGAAACATGCAGGTGTCCAGCAAAACATTCATAGATGCATCAAACATGCCATGTTTGGCTGAAGTTGGGATCTCCTAGCAACTTTAACCTTTGGGGCTGACCCTAGTTTGATCAGCGATTCACGCTTTGAATTTGGACCCCGAGCGCAGTAATCATGCGAGAAGCGTCGACTCGAAGCCATCAGTTTTCCAGGCACAAACTACATCAAACTACGGTTTCTTGTACATTTCCCCTACTTTTTCCCTTACACAGAGTGAAATTGTGACCTCAAAAGTAAGCCTTAAAATCTACCGAGGGCACACTGCCAGCAAGCCATGAACTCCCGTGGACCAGGATCTGGAGAAAACGCGCGCCCTGGAGAAGGCGAAGTTCAAGGCTGCTGATGCAGATGGGGATGACCTTTTGAATCTGCAGGAGATGGCTTCACTCTTTTACCTTGAAACGAGTCCGGCCGTCCTGGATGTGGTCGTTCGGGACACCTTGAAGTTGAAGGACAAGAACAAGGATGGAGTGTTAAATGTCAAGGAGTTCTGGATGTTCTGGGATTTTGGCCCTGAAAATGCTGGAGAAAAGATCAAGGAAGAGGAGATGCGAGTCTTCCGACAGCTGGACAAGGAGATTTGGATTTCACCACGCTTCACAGCGGTTAACCCCTGATGGGAAACCCCATTCCCAAGAAGCCTTGACAGTATGCAACGATATGCAACGTGTATGTATGTCAAGCGTGTCAAGCTTATGGAATGGGACCCATTGTTGTTCGATAAGTCCTCTTCCGACTGGTTGGTCAGGTACGGTATATTTTTTAAATATATATAATATATATATATTATATATATATACTGTATATAATATTGTATAATAACATCGAGCTCCTCTTACGCAGACATAGATGAAACATCTTGAAAAATGGTAACATGGCATGCCGGACCTGTGTCCCCCAACATCCCCCAACATGTTCATGCATATTGTTCTCAATTGAGGACATGGTTCCGAGAATCTGATGATAGGAAGATTTTCGGGAAAGTCCTATACGTTTAAGGGCGTACTGGTAAAGACGATGGATGTTCCTGTAGATATTCAATATATATTCAATGATATTCACACATCTTCCCATGTTTCATGGCTACTGGTCTATCATAATTTTCCCATAATTTTCCCTACATCAACGGCCAGTTTATGTGGTAAATTGATCCATCCCTATCCCCATCTCCAGGATGAGAACGGTGTCCTGAACGTCTCCGAACTACGCTCCTGGGAGTCGGGTGCCTTTGAGACTGAAGCTGCCATGATGAGCTTGCTGCAGGAAGCGGACAAGGACAGCTTGGGAGAAAAACTGGGGATCCAGTTTTTTCCACTGTTTTTTCACCTTTTTTCGGGGATGATCTTGAAGAATATTACTATGAAAATGTGATCGGATATGCCTGATAATTATGCGCCCCTAAAAATAGCAATATAATGCAATATAAATGATCTTAAGATATCATCTTAATAGGGAAAATGCTGATTAAACAGAGGATTTACGGGGACCCCACTGGGTCCCGCGGTTAAATCGTTGCATCGCTGTTTCGTCGTAGCAGACCAGCGTTTGCTTTGCAGAACTGCATGTTCGGAAGCATCATTTTATGATATACAGTAGCTGATATAACATGTTGAACGATTTCTTGTTGTTCCTGGACCAGCGTGCCTTGCGGTGCTTTTTCTTCTCATAATATGTGGTAATGCATGTTAGAAAGCTAGAATCAGTGCTAGAATGTGCTAGATTGCTGCTAGACTGCTGAACGAGTGCTGCTAAATTGTTAGACCGCTCAAAACGAACGCTTGGGGCCTTCAGCCATAGCAAAGGTCTCGGAGCAGGTCGGAGCAGCTCAAATGTGCATTCTGAAAGGTTCCGGAGAACAGGTTATCAAGCAAGGTTATCAAGCAAGGTTTCCAAGACCAGGCCCCCGAGCAAAGCAGTTCTGAAGAACACGCCCCAGGGTTCCCAAGCTAGGCTCCCAAGTTCCCAAGCAAGGTTCACCTGCGACATCTTCAGGACGGGGACCAACAGGCTTCCCTCGAAGAGTTTGAGAATGTAAGGCATTCGCTGGCTGGCACTGATGCTCACTATCATTTCATCGAATGGGTGCAGCACCATGAGCTGTGAAGTGTTGTGAATGGCGTCTGAAGCCTGATGGTGCACTGGCAAGGACAGAGCCTCCAAGAAGTGGGGATGTCCTAAAGGCGCAAAAGTCATGCCATGTCCTGTCTATAACTCTGGGAACTCTTGTGCCCTGATGGGATACGTTGGGCTTGGGTCCCCACCAATTGTTTGGGCACACCCGTGTGATGCTGCCAACTTGCGCACGGCAAAGGATGGAAAAAGTGACTGGCAGATCGAGGTGGATAAATGATATATTTAGATCATATGGTATGACCCCGCTCAGGTTTCAAGATGGATTTCCACAGAAATAGGGTAGACCACAGAATCTTGGAGAGAACACGCAATAAACTATTCAATTTTGGGGTGTCCATGGGTGTCCTATTCTACTGTATAGTCTCAAGTAGGTGTCCAGTGCTCATCCATCCCTACTACATGGGATGAGAGAACCATTGGAACTACCACCAACATCCAACAACCAAAAAAACCATTGATTACATCAAAGGTAATCAAATCAGGCAACGGAATATCCAAGATTTATTAATGTTTTTCCTATATTCTTGTGCAAAAAAAGGGGGTTGCTGGGGCTCCTCTCCTTTCAGGAGCCCAAACCTGTTGCGTACTTCCTCCAGGCACCGGAAAACTTGGGGAGAATGATTTCCTTGAGATTGGTGACCATTAGACCATTAGACCATTTTCATGATTTTTCATGATTTTTCATGGCTGCAGATGGCCTCGCAACACTCAGCTGTCTCAGCTGTGAATCCCACCCAGCTTCGAGGCTTCGGGGCCTGCTGTGCCGGAGGAGAAGGCTCATCTTAGATGGGACCTGCGGGAATCCGTTCTTTTTCAGGCCAGTAGTTTGATGAATTAGTTGATTCAGGTCAGATGTAGAGGATTAATCTTGAGCCCCACGATTTGAAGATGCGATCACCTGGGAGGCTGAAAGTGCAACCAATGCCTCTAACCTCATCTTGGCCAGGGCCATAGCACTGGATCCAGGCTTTGACCCAGGCAATGGGAAAGGCAGCAGACCTTGGTCCATTGGCGGATTGTGGCCAGCTTTTCGATCTTCCAAACATGACTTCTTGGAGCAGTAATCCATCATCCCCGCTGCAGATGATCCACAATACATGATTTTTCTAAATGATGAATCCATATCAACCCCTATGATTCAGGGGATGATTTTCACCAGCTGAGGTCATGGATGGCGGTGGTTTCCGCGTGCAAAGCAGCTTCCCCAAGGAGACCGCGGAGGTGCCACATGGACAGCTCCAGACTGATTTATAGTGATGACATATTATGACATATTATGAAGATGATCATTTCACATTTGGGTTTCTAGTCATCTAGTCATCTAGATCCTGATTCTATTTCATAGCCCCAGTATCTTCCATGTATCTTTGATTTTTTTGTTTTTAAATATCTTCAATCAACTTCGATCAACATTCAAAAAAATTTAGTCGCTTGCACCTTCGGCTGCTTTTAATGGCAGCCCTTTCCATCCCCAGGTGCGGCAGCAGGAGCTGCGCAACGAGATCAAGGACGCAGAGCTGCGGGTGGACGAAAAACGACAGGAGAAGAAGCGTCACTCAGAGGTCTGGGCCCTACGATGTTCTACGGCCTACGGAGGAAAAATGGCGGCCCAGTTACATCCAGTTACTGTACCCTCCGGTTCAAACATGGCTGACTTATGGGACAATCATACATCCCATATTCATCAAATTTCATCAAGATATGAATAAGATTTAGAACTTTCCTTCCTTGTCTGAATTGTACTGATGCCTGTGCCCTGTCATTCTGTGATCAAGTTCTTCAAAGGTAGAGCAAATAATTGATTATATATGTTTCTCCAAAATAATCTGGGTTGGCAATCATGCAATAACATGGTCCATTTTCTGGTATGATTATATATATGTCTCAAGTCATCATACCTTGAACATCATCTACTGTATACAAGGTAATGCCAACACGGAAACTCTCTAATTCTGGGCGCCAGAATTGTTTTGTTGCGAAGGGGCTAGAGGGCATACTTGGTTGCATCCATGCTGCAGGCTTTATGATTTTATGGTTCTTGCTTCTGATGCTATTGAATGTAACTTGTGTTCCTTGTTTCAGTTGTTTGTTTAATATCTCTTCATATTTGTCACGAGTTAATTGGTTATGAACATCATGTTTCACGACTCCTTTGCTTTTTTCATGCTCTTTGTCTTCATCACAAGCCTTATAGCAGTAGAACTTCGGTTTTAGCCCTATGATGCTCTATGAGGCGTGTCGTAGTTCTACTTGAGCTTGCCAAATACTTATCACTGCGATATGGTAATCTGAATGATTAACATTATAATATATTATAATTATGAGCATTTCTGCGAGTTACAGATTGGACAGCATCATTTTTTTGATTTCCTCATTTAATCATAAAAACTAATCATTTAATCCTCATTCCGAGACCAAAAAATCCTCGTTCCTCATCTAGTCTACTGAAACATCCTGATTATAAAGTCCAAATGGTCGTTGATTTCTCTAAGGTCTTCACAGAAGTCATCAGTGTCAGCTTTGATGACATGACTGTGACTATCAGTAGACAGGAGTTTGATCTAGTTTGATATTATCTTCATACTTTGATTTGATAACATCATAGTACAATGAATGCATATTAACCTTCGAATAACTCAAGGGTTGAGGATGGCGTTAGGGATGGGGTTGGGGGATGGGGTGGTTACGGGGCGCATGGGGCACACGAGGCCCACCTGAAGTTGCTGGCAGACATGGAGAAGCAGGAGGAGGCCGCAAAGCCCGTGCTCAGAGAACTGGAAAATGACCTTGCTAAAGCCAAAGAGTCTCAAGAGGCTTGCGCACCTCAGCAGCAATCAGAAGGCAGGATCGCTATTCGTTGCTGGGAGAAGTTTCCCATGGTTCGGCTTCCAATTTGAACAGCTGGAAACTAAGGCAGTAGAAGTCACCAAGGTTCAGCATCTGCAGGAGATGGGAGTGGTCATTGATTTCAGGGTTCCTAATGACTGGGGATGACTGGGGTTTTGGGTATGTTTTGGATGTTTTGGTTTCCACCATCCACAAATTCTTGGTTTGTCTTCTTGTGGCTCTTTGCGGTTATTTCTGGTTACATGCTGGTGGTTACTTTTAAAACTATTCTGGGAGATGACCCAGGAGAGCTTCGAAACCCTGCGTGAGAATCCGGAGAAGGCGAAGCCTAAAGCTGTCAAGGCCTGGCATGGGTCGGGTCACTGGTGCTAGTGGTCACTGAGATCTTTGGGCAGGTACTGAGGTACTGATGGGTTTCTTTTTCAGTTACTTCCTTTTTTTTCCGTGAAATTGGAGGTTGACAGTGTCGACAGGTGCCAAACGCTTTGCAGCAATGGCCTGGCTTCCAGGGATACCTATACCATCATATAGCTACGCAAATGGTCAGATCGTAGGATCGGTTGGGCCCCTGGACTGAACTAATTATGTGAGGCCTTGAAAGGGCCCTTGCAGCAACTGGGTTTGGACGAGAAGCAACTCAACAGCCTGCCTGAAACCTTGGCCAAGAAAAAGGCCAAGCGAACTCCCAAAGAGAGGCCCAACTGGGCTGCCAGAGGTTCCAGTTGAACCAGGTTCATGTTATGTTTTCCAATTTTTTACACTTTTTTTGGTGGAAAAGAACCATGGTGCTGGATGGTGTTGTGGTCTTGAGATGGGTATCAGACATGCGCTGCCTTTCCACCATATCAATCCATATCATAATTGATCATGATGTTTCCATGTTTTTCTTGAGTCAAGAAACCATCCTCTCTGGAGGATCCCGACCAGTTGCCAATTCAGATCCCAATTTTTGTGGGAGACGACCTACAAAAAAGCTATGACAAACTGACAAACACATGGGTTCCCTGGGTTCCCCAGGAAATGATCCACACATCGCATGGGCATCACATTTGATGGAGTATTTTAATCTATTTTATCATCCTAATCTTCAAACACTTCCCCTGAACATCGCACAATTGATGGGTATGCCACATTTCCGGACAAATCCAAACATCAGTGTTGGCTTGCCCCCCATGATATCCATGATATCAAATTATATATTATATATTATATATATGTATATGTATGTATATGTAAATGCCAATGTAAATGCCAATGTAAATGTAAATAAAAATGAAAATGCAAACGCAAACGCAAATGCAAATGTAAATGCAAAGGCAAACGCTAATGCAAATATAAATAATGTAAATGGAAATGCAAATGTAAATGGAAATGTATATAAATGTAAATGCAAATGCAAATGTACATGTAAATGATAATGTAAATTTAGATGCAAATGCAAATGTAATGTATGTATTTGTATATATATATATATCCTGCAATCTCCATCAAATGGTTGTACACCCTATCTACCCCTATCTATGATGTTTTTGTCCCAGCCAGCCAGGAAATTCTTGGTCACTGTGACGGAGGCACTGCAGGCTCAGGTGAAAGCTCGCCAGGGCCCAAGCGACTGCTAGAGCCATCAGGTTGCGGTCATCGACGGTTTCTGAGTAGATGGTATCAATAAAAATAGATGAGTGAGGTACTTAAAGGACTTAAATACTTAGCGCAACCTCCAATGCAGAAAAGTTGGAAACCTGAAAATGATGGGAAAACATCGACCTACCATCCTGGAAATGCTTTCTATTTCTTTGATGACCATCATTGTGAATCATTATCATTTAAGACTCAATGCAGGAATGCCAACTTGGCAATGAAGAATCCCAGTCTTTAAGACGAAGAACATCCATGAATGAAGGATATTCCCTTGCTATCTCTCGCTCCATTTGGGTTCTCATGCACCGAGGAAGAGACTTGCAGTCAAAATGCCAGAAAGAAGTCTACGCTCGCGAGGCGGAACTCATGATTCAACATGGTTGATGGTACCAATGGTACCAATGGTACCAATGGTACCAATGGTACCAATGGTACCAATGGTTGATCCATCATGGGAAGTCCATGGACCCAACAGCTAGGCGATCTCCGCATGGCTGGAGATGACATGCTCCACTTGACTTCAGCCGCTAGGAGAAACTTAAAGCAGTTGCTGCAGAGGGGCCTATGCGAGCGAAGGTGGGAATAAGGACATTGAATCACATGGGTTTGACGTATAATTTTCTAACAGATTGATGGTTCAGGATTGGTTTGCGATTGCAGTTTTTCTTCTTCAATCATATTTTTTGGGTACTTTTTTGTAACTTTCTGCTTCCCTGCTGATCGTTTCAGACTTTTAGATCCTTGGTTTCACATGCTCGATGTGGGGAGGCGATAGAAGCTTCGAGTAAGGGCATCCTGGAAAAAGAAGCGCAGATCAAAACTGCGGAGGACATCGACCCTTGGAAACTTGAGCCAAAATGGTCAGAAAAGGGTCAGAAATCCATCGATATCACAGCCGTTTGGAGATGATGACATGGATGGGCCTTTGCTGTAAAAGCTTCTTGGTATATACCCTTCATGATCTTCGCCCAAGTGGTAAGTGACATTTTTTTTGTTGCTCACAAAATGTTCCATCGCCCCGGGTCTTCTCCAAGACTAGGCTACTCCAAAATCCCATGGTGTTTATCATCTACATAGGGGTTTCCATAAATGGGGGCACCCGTTTTAACGGATGGTTTATAATGGAAAATCCTATTAAAATGGATGATTTTGTCATTATTAAAATGGATGGTTTATAATGGAAAATCCATGAAAATCCTATTAAATCTCCTGAAAATAGGGGTTATCTAATGGTTAAAATCATATACCCTCTGGTGAACTAACATAGCAATTGAAAATGGCCATAGAAAGAGTGGATTTTCCGATTAAAAATGGTGGATTTTCCATTGCTATGTTAGTTCACCAGAGGGTAACCTTTATTGGGAAACCCCCATTTCAGGAAACCCCTGTCCGGACGCCAGGAGCAAGCGGAGACCTGCATCCAGGCGCTCAAGGACCATGAGGCAGGTGACATCCGGTGACCGGGAGATCCCCCATTGAAAAATGGAGCTTTTGACATGTTTTAATGGGAAAATATGGGGAAAATATGGGGAAAATCATCCATAAATGGGGGTTATCTAAGAATAACATCCTGGAAAATGGAGGTTTATAGCCGGGAACATCACCTATGGCAACGGAGGATTTTCCAGCAAGCCATGGTTTGATGACCAGCGACTATTTTTGAATGCTGTGATTCTATTTTTTATGATGATGTATGATTTGAACATATTTGAACAAATATTGTCATACTTCCAGCATCTTCTGGCAATGACGGAAGGATGTGTTAGTTGAGTGACTAGAACTCTTGCGGCCAGTTGTCAACTGCGAAATTCCAAATGTGGGATCCGCGAGGCAAAAATGACGTCTGTGGGGAAGATGCTGAGATTCAACTCTTGGAGCGAATCTTGTTGCTGGGCAATCAGCCATCCCCTCTGACTGTCCTGGGCTTTGGCCGTATTGAAGGGTGTGAAACATGTGAAACCTTCTATATTCATCTATATTCATCTATATTCATCTATATTCATCTATATTCATCTATATACATCTATATTCATCTATATTCATCTATATTCATCTATATTCATCTATATTCATCTATATTCATCTATATTCATCGATATTCATCGATATTCATCTATATTCATCATTGCAGCCATTCAAGTGACGGGTCGTTTTCTCACAAAAACTGAGCCAGATCAGATGTCTTTAAACCCGTGTGAAACTTGTGGGTGTAGGGATCCCTCAGCCAACTCGACTCTGCGCAACTGCTGGAAATGGACGCCAGGTTGCATTTGCTGCGACGAACTACCTGTCGACTCTGCGGCGACCCTGGGCTGTGGCCATGGCTGGTACTGCCCAGGATGTATCAATCGTTTCGTGGAGGCTGGGGTGAAAACATCCTGGCTGGGAAAGAAAGCTTGAAGTGGAACTTCCATTGCTTTTCTCAGTTCATCCGAGTTTTTTTTGGGCGTGTGTCTTTCCAAGGGGTATAGCTATAGCTATGGCATGCTATGGCTATCATCCCGCAGAATTTGAAATTGGACTGCACCTCAGAAGGCCCGCCAAGGCTCTCCAAATTATGAGGGAGATCCTTTATATAAGGATGGTTGTCCCATTGTGAAATGTGCGCCATCTGATTTCTTTGTTTGATATGGTAGTAGCATGTAATAGCAAGGTTGACTAGCTTGGAACCTGCAAGAAAACATTTAAACTTATGTCCCCATTCTTGGACGTTTCTAGTTTCTAGGTCTAGATTAATTAATAATCATTGATGTAGATGCCCAAATTGTACTGTTTCTTGGTTCGAAATGTTTTGAGGATGAACCAAAAATATCAAATTTCCACCCTGGCAAGGTCCATGACTGCGCGCAGGCACGCTTAGACGAGGGCATTTCTGGAGATATCCCATGCCCGGATTGCGGCAAAGCCATTTCCGAAGAGGATCTTGCACGACACCTTGATTGAATATGTGGATGTGGACTACTGCTGTACAAGAGGAGTGGTAGCCATTGGTAGCCCCTCCAGCAGGGGCTCAAAGTATGACAAAGGGGGGAGCAGTAAAGGTACCCAGTGCCCAACATTTTCGTGGGTCTTCTAGTCGCGCTACTGTATGATTCATCATCCCTGGGCTAATGACGGGAACCATTTAATCAGTCTTCCAAATATGGATGATACATGATGGCTGTCCATGCAGAAGAGCTGGTACCAAGGACTGCTCCCAAAGCAAACCATCTTCCGGCTTCATGCCTCAAACATCAACCGCGCGGCGGTGGCTTCTGGTGCCAAACCGCGCCCATGAATCTTGCTTGCAACGCTTTGTCCAGGTTTTCAAGTGGCGAATCAGCGGTGAGATATTTTGAAATGCCATGACATGCCATTTTCATCCATTTTGGGGTTTGGAAAGTCAACATGTTGATTTGGCCACTAAGCATACGATCAGATTATTCAAAAGACTAAACTTTTTGCATTTCAGAGCCACGGTGCCCTCGAATTTCTGTGTAGTCATGGCTGCTGCCAGTCAGAAAGACGTGCTGAAGTTGGCACTGCGGCCTAAAAAGTGTTTGCACATGTTTGCACCTTGAAGTTGAACACATGGCCGTGCACATTCAAAATCAGATCAAAGCCAGCTCATCAGAATACTTGATAAGTACAACATTCATTTCCCCCAGAGAAATTCAATGTTGGGCTTCAACCAAAGTTGTTTCCATGGGCTTGGACGCAGCCCTAGAAGCTGAAGCGCTTTATGAAGCTTTGAGGTCCAACGCCTGACTGTCACATGCACAAGACCTTTGAAGAGGGAAAACCTGCCTGTGAAACATGCCCTCTTTGTGAGAAGGAATCCTGTCGCTTGGAAATTCTTGGAAGTGCAAGGAGAGGTGGGTATGGGTATTTGGATGTATTGGTCTCGTGAAATTGAGTTTGTTGTCAAATGGTACTGGTATGGGTCAAGTTATACATATATATATATATATATATATATATACATACATTGATATGTATCATATCTATGTAATTACATAGATTGATATATTTATATATATATACATATACTGTATATATAATATATATATATTAATATATATACTTATATGTATATATATATGTGTGTATATACATATATATATACACCCATATATCTTTAATATATACATATATATATTTGTCTTTACATATTTATATATATATATGTAATATGTACATATATATATATATATATGATATATATATATATGATATATATATATATATGATCTATTTATATACCTGATATATTTTTATATGTATATATATATGGTATATATATATATGGTATATATATATGGTATATATATGGTATATATATGGTATATATATATGGTGTGTATATATATATATATATGGTATATATATATATATATATACATGTTTGATATACATATGTTTTGAATTGTTTTGATATGTATATATATATATATATTATACTGATTACGTTGGGATATATTGGGGCAGTTTAGATTCAAGCAGCTTTGCCGCGGCAAGGTTGGTGGTGTGGAGCCCAGCCCTATCACAGTGGCTTGACTTGCGAGCAGCATCGCAAAAAGGCAACCCGAAGCAGCGGTTCCAAGGATGATGAAAGTTGCCTGGCGGAGTGTGGGGAGTCTGTCCAAGGGTGCACCTAGGACCTAGGCGCATGCGCAAAAATCACAGAAGAGGGAGCCTGCTGTGCATCCCTCCCCTGCTTACTTTCTGATGAAGCTCAAAATTTCATGAAGGCAGGTCAATCAATCTAGCGTACAGGGTAGACGATTCTTAGCCAGGTCGTTTATATTTGTTCATCATGAAAGGCATCAAAATGCGCTCCATACTTCAGATGGTTGATGAACGATTCCATCACCTTGACTGGCACATTGATCATACATGACCAGATACAACAAATTCTTCAGCTCCGCTGGACCCTTGGGATGGCGATGGAGACAGAAACCATTTATCACCAATGGACACCCCAACACCACAGTAGTTCCAGTTTTCCGCCATCAGCAGTGAGAAATTCTAAACGCCATCTGAGGCTTTCTGCAGTGGATGAAGGACACTGGAACAAAGCAGTGTCCGACTTGTTCCTTGGTTTGCAAACCTATTGATGCTGGCTCTCCAAGTGATACTCCCCGAATCAAACAGGCCACTATTACTATTACACATCATACCCGACCTATCCATCATGATTATCCTTCCTTACCCAATATTTCACAACATTTCCCATAATTCATTATATCGCCTGCATGCTTGAATTTCACGCGTGGGTATGGTTCAAAATGTATCAAAATGTAAGACCCAGGGGCCACAGATGTTGGCAATTTCTAAGATGGTAAACCGGTAAACAGTCTCATTTAAGGAATCCAATTTTGACCACCCATGCTTCCTCCATGAAGTGGATCCAGCCACCTGTGTGTTGCTAGGTGGGATGGCCACATCCAAAGAGAATTTGGAGATGCAGACAGATCAGGCAGAGAAGCACTGCCTTCTCTCCTTGGTTGGTTGATCAGTTGTCGGGGAAACTATATGGTGAACTCCTCATTTTTCACACCATTTGAATCAGGACAAAAATGGCCAGTTTTTTCAGATTTGGGCACCTAAAATATCATTAAAAGCAATTGTTCAGATGAAGATCCATTAATGATATTTTAGGATATCATCAAAATACCATTTGGAAGATCCAAGCCACCTCGGAAATCCTCGGAACCCTGGGACCGTGTTGAGGTGGAGGAGTGTCACAAGATGATTTGCCGCAGCTGCGGCACCAAATTCTGCTTTGGGTGTAACGCCGTCCTGACGGAGAGCTACACATGTGGCATGGCTCCGCAGAGGACCTCTGACCACGATCTGGAACACATGTCTTCTTGGTAATCGTGAGGGGTTCAATGGTTTCTGTAAGTGAACCATCATTGTTGGACACAAGGGGCTTTTAAAGTTGTGATGTTTACTGCTGAATCTGGCTTCGCCGAGGTGGTTGCACGCAAAACGCGCACAACTTTGTGGACCCACACACCGGGGAACTGGTGAAACACCTGCAGAAGAAAGAGAAAGCGAAAGCCAAAGCGAAAGCCAAATCCAAATCCAGGCTGGATGATTTGGATTGATTTGGATGCTTTTCAGTTTCCTTATGAGCGGATGGATTTATCGCCATATACCACTAGAAAACTTAAACTTTTGGCACAAGATCCACACACCACTTTGGGCCTCCGAGAATGGGACTTTCCAGCGCCAGTCCCATGAGAAACCTCGTGGCTGTTGATCCCTGTGCCTCATATTTTCCAAACCATCCAAACCAGTAAGAAACAGTTCAAAGATGTTCAAAAGGGAATCTAGATTAGTGACAAGAACTCGATAAGTGGATACATACACACACAGATATATGTCATGTATATTATATACATAGATAGATAGATAGATAGATAGATAGATAGATAGATGTAATATATGATATATATATATGCAATATATATATATGTAATATATACCACATGATGTAAACGGAATTCCAGGTTGGATTCCCAGAGGCTCAAATCCCCCAGGCGGTGAGGTTGGAGGCCTCGGAGCACCGCAGCCGAAAGGCTTGGGATTTTCCATGGCTTGGTTTGGCTCAGTTAGATTACTATGGATTACCCTCTGGTAAATTAACATAGACCCTGGCAGATAGGGGTTGGAAGACTAGTTTCCATTAAACATTGTCTATTTTCAGGGTCTATGTTTATTTACCAGAGGGTAACACCAGCAGCCTCTAGGATGGAGATTTTTCAAAAGAGTGTTGATCGTTTTTAGAGTAAGGCAGTTGCAATCTGGTGCTTCGACCGACGAGAGCAAAGTGGGTGGTTTAATAAGGAACGGGAGGATGTGGAGTGCCCAACATGATGTGGCAAGTGGTTGGTGGTTTCAAAATGTTTCATTTTTTTTTCATATTCTCCATTCCAAGACCGTCTTGCAATCTCACATGCACTGTAAATTACTCGGAGATACTATACTAGAGTGAGTGGCACAGTCTTAGAACAAGAAACGAGGTTTTGTTTTGTAGGATTGGGATGGTTTTTGCTCTGATTTCCGTGTAGAATTTGAAGAGATACAGTATGCAGATTGAGAGGGGTCTTGGGCGAATGATACCCGCAGCGCTCAGGCGTTTTTTTTGAGAGACCGGGGGGCCAGGGCTGCCATGACCTGCCACAGTGATGATTTTGTGGCCTTCATGCAAGGACAAGCCACCTCTTTGCGGTCCCTTAAGTTGCCATTTAAGTGTCATTTGTGTCAACTTCAAAATAAGCCCAGCGGATGCATACAGTCGACTGTATCCACTGTGGCAGGTAATTGCAGCTTATAGGGCGTCACGCGATCCAAGGGGAGAGCTGGTGTCAGAGTGAGTTTGAGTCGGGTTTGTTCGTGTGCCAATGCTCAATCTCATCAGTCTAATGTCTAGCAGAGTCTAGCATGCAGCATACATGTTTGATTATTTCTGCATGTTTGTGCATTTTTTTTTGTCAGTTTGCTCTCCCCATTTGACTTTGTAAATCATGCTTCTTTTGAGGCTTTGCTTCTTACCTTGTATTATAGTTTGACCCAAGCTGCCCAAGCTAAAAGCTTGTGCCAATTCGTCGCAAGACTCTTACAGATCCTGCAGCATCTTACAGCCAAGACAGGACAGAATGTCTCGACTGTGCGCTTTCAGAAAGGATGCCAACGCCTGTAGAGGCTCACAAACAAACACATATAGGAAACGTGCATGAAGTTTCAGTACACCTTTTCAGTGTCAGAAACTTCCAATATAGTCAATAGATGTCAATAGTTCACAACAATTCACAACACATTTTTCTAATCATTCATCACCAATACGTGTATGTTTGTATATATATATATACTATATATATATACGTATATATATATATATATGCACGTACATACGTATTGTATTTACCCACATCGATTAACACACACATGCATATGATTAATATACAGTATAGATAGATAGATAGATAGATAGATAGATAGATAGATAGATAGATAGATAAAGAGTGTAGTACTGTATGTATTCTATAGGCGATGTATGCAATATCGTAACTCCCTAATATTGTGTTGAAGATCCCTGACCCCAGGTGACCGCCGAAACCGCTGAAGCCGCGAAGAAAAAAACTTCGCGATTCAACTGGATCTTCAAAGTCAGGATCCAGATTGTTTGAAGATGGGGTCTGTAACATGGTTTAATATGGTTTAAGCATGTTACTTAAAATGAACCATGCTTTTATCCATGAACAATCTGGATGTCAATATTAACCATGAACAATCTGGATGTCAATGGGTGTGTATTAGTGTATGTGAATTATGTAATGTATGTAACAAACATAATACGTGGGTTTTTATGTTTGTCTCAAGAATGGGAACACCCCAATTTGGATTTTGGATGGATCCCAGCTTGCCGTGGGCAGTGGTTTAGAAACGTGAGATGGAGACAACCCCAAATTGCAGCCAGGATGACGGTCAGGTCCTGCCATGGAATGGCGTCACTGAAAATGGTTTGTAAATGAATATCAGTGAATATTGACTATCGTCATCATCACGGTGGCTTAAATTGATCCAAATTCAGGTACCGGAACCCTCCCGAGTATGATCACTTTCATTGACACTAGGCTCCCCGAACTGGTGTTGCTTTGCCGCAAGACATGACCAGCATCTTCGGCTGCTGCAGACTTTGGTTTGCCGCCAGTTGGCGCAGTTGTTCTGTGGCTCGGGGCGGTCATCTCTGAGTATCTCTGCGTGGCCAGGTTGAAGAACCAACTTGCAGCTTGGAAATGGCTTTGCCATGCTTTGTCCGAATATAGGGTACACCATGGTACAATGGCACACCCAAATCCCTCAACATCCAATCGTTCATCATCATTTCTTTCCATATTTATCATTTGTTTATCTATATTTAACATTGCAATGTTGGATAGTCTTGGCCGCGAACTGGGCAAACCCAATAAGTGTTTTTCTTGCCTTGAAGCCAGCCCGGTCTCTACTTCTCCTTTGTTGGGCTGAGGGCATTCTTCAGTGACAACTTGGTGTCCATCATAAACGATTTGCCGACAGTTGGATCAAGAGTCAGCAGCTTCCAGTGAACCCAACGCAGGCGTCACATTGCCACTTTCCAGGTGTAGAGAGGTAGAAATGGGGCCCAAGGTTCATCAATCCAACAATACAAGCCCCCTATCAATGCGATCTTCATGGTATCCAAAGATCTCCATTTGATATGTTTTGATGGATAAATGATGAGAAATGCCATCTTTTTATGGTATCCAAGATGGTATGGTTCCATAAGCCAAGGAGGTCTAATCCGCCCCTGCCATGGCGGCTTGGGCTGCAGATGTTCAGCTGAAGGCAAGGCATAGATCGCCTCGTATTGGCTATAAAGCACCACAGGATGGCAACCCCCGGTGGGTGATTTCAATTGATTTCATGTACGGTATATTAATATATAGTATATACATATAATAAAGTATGATATATATATATAATATGTATGTATGCATGTAATTTAATGTGATGCGATGTAATTGAATGTGGTGTGATGTGATGTGATGTAATGTGATTTGATGTGATTTGATGTGATTTATGTAATGTGATGTGATATACATTGATATACTGTGATGTAATGTATGTATTCACCCCGCTTCGCGTGGGGTGGCCGCCCACACCGCAGGTTTATTTCGGTCCGTGAGAGGGGCTAAGGGTGGTTTTCCCCCGTGGGGGCTCTTCAAGCTAAGAAGTTTCAATAAGAAATCCTTCCAAAACATTGTTTTTGACAGTGTTTTTCCAATGTTTCCAGTCAAACAGACGGTAATTTACACGTTTTTTGCCATAAAGGCAGTAAATCCTTCCAAAACATTGCTTTTGACAGTGTTTTTGTAATGTTTCCAGTCAAGCATACGGTAATTTACACGTTTTTTGCTATAACGTCAGTCCAAAACACTTGTTTTTGCAGTGTTTTCAATGCTCTGGCATCCAAAAACCCTGCAAAATCTTGCTATGTACAATGTTTTTTTTTCATTTTTGGCCGTTTTTCCATTGCCGGAAAGCTACCAAAATGACCCAAAATTCCATTTCAATACCCTCTTGCGCTCAGACACCCAAAAATCCTCGAAAAATGTCGAAAACACCACCGTATTCTGGTCTCGGTGCGAAACCGTTTTTGGGGTCTGGTCTCGGTGCGAAACCGTTTTTGGCCCCCCCCCCAGCTAAAGCTGATATAGCGACTGCTATATTAACAAATGTCATTGAGCATTTAGTGTTGCTGTTGCCCCCCAATAAGCACGCCTTCACCGCCAAAGCGGTGTGGGCGGATTTCTGTGCGATTCCCATCCCAGCAAATCGTTGCACATCGGATAAAGAATGATAAACATATGCAGTAAAAATGTAGTAAAGATCCAGACTCAGATGGTGGAGGGCTCAACTGGCCCAAGGCGCAAGCTGCGGCTCCTGGAGCTGGATACCCTGTGACATTGAACACCTGTCGGGGTGCTGAGCATTTCATTCCAAGGATGGGCAAAAGAGGTTATGATTCAGGATTAAAATTCATTAAAACCTGTTCAAATTGATCAACTCCTTGTAGGCAAACCTCCGGAAATATGTACCCTCTGGTAATTTAACATAGCTATTGAAAATGGCCATTTATAGTGGATTTTCCCATTAAAAAATGGTGATTTTCCATTGCTATGTTAGTTTACCAGAGGGTACCAGGTTTCAACTCTGTGATTTTCTATTTGTTTGAAACCCAGGGTTGCAGCGGCCAACCTCTGGAGATCTGAGGTCGCTCAACCTCCCCGACCCCGGCAGGCCGAGGTGTCTTCCCCCTGGCGCTTTTGGGGTGCTCAATTTTAGAAGGAACGATCAAGTCCAAGATTTGCTCATGAAAAAAGTATATACTATATATATATAGATTCATGGTGACAGAGAGAGAGAGAGAGGGAGAGAGAGAGAGTAATATGGCAGATGATGGCCGCAGTCCTCATCCCTTTGTCCATGCGCAGTGGACAGGTGGCAGCGTTCATGTGCCTGGCGTGCCTCCCGGCGTGTCTGGGCAGCCACGAGCTTTAACCTCAGCTAGATAGGGTTTAACTATATAGTATATGTATATATATTAAATCTAGGGTTTATGGTGAATATGATGTAGCTATAGTGCATGGTTTACAAACTAACTTATAACTGGTGGGACTCAGAGCCTCAAATCGTACATGTGTTTTTTTTCATTTTTGATCAGTTCCCAAGAGCGTTTGCTCAGGGGCCTCAGCCCAGATAAAGGTTCGGTGTGGCTTCTGGTGCTGGTTCTGAGGCGGTTCTGGACGTTCCTGTGGGTTCTGGTGTGGGTTCCGGGAGGTTCCAAAAGGTTGTTTTGGGGTGATTCCGGAGGTTCTGGTGTAGTGGTTCTGGTGTACTGTAGGTTCCAGGATTGGCCGCCTGTCATGGCCTGTCGCCAGGGTTGACACTTGATGGGTGTTCACTGGCTGCTCTAACGCTTTTCCTACCACCTTTGCTGTTGGGGATACCACCTGCGCTTATTTTCCCACAATGACAATTTGCCATAATTTGCCCCTTTTTCAAGCCAAATAAGACAAACTAATAAGCCTGAACCAATTGGAGCTTATCACTTTGCCACACCAGCAACATCCATCTCCATCGCCGAGGCTTATGCAGCTCCACTGCGGCCCATTCCAGTGGCTCGGCAAATCTTGGGACCGAGGCTGAAGGGAATGGAAAACATAGATGGTAACTACACTGGATGGGACAATTCTTATCTCTATTTGATGGGGGAAATGATTGAAGGATTTGAAGGACACCCCTATCTCTGGTGGTAGACACATGTGGAGAAAAACTTGGGTTTTCAGCAACACTTCCCCACAACTGAGCCAGTGAACTACTGTAAGCTGTAAGCTGATTGCTGGTTGGTTGCCTAATTCTGTGACCCGCAGTCCCATCGTGGGGGTCCATGCAGTTGACCGTTGAGGATTTGATATTTCCTGGTCCTTGGTACATGGATCTCCCCCAGGAAGACAAGTAGATCCAAGAGTATGGCCTGGTAGAAGCTTGATTCATTTGCTTTGCTGTCAATTTAGTTTGCTCATTTCATTTAATGTTGAAAACGCAGATTCTAAACACCTCTGTCTAGATTCTAGATGGTTGTTACACATTGTTACACCATGAAAGATCCATTGTGGTTCCACCATGTGAGGTGAGAAGCAGCTCCACTCCCACAGCCAGAGCCTCCAGGATCCTGGAGGTTGATCTGGGGAAAAACCTGAGAAACCCTATGGCCCTAATAGGCCCTATGGCCAACTTAGGGTGACTCGACCAAGCTTCCAAGATCTTCCAAGATCTTCCAAGATCTTCCAAGATCTTCCAAGATCTTCCAAGATCTTCCAAGATCTTCCAAGCTTATTGCCACAACGCACTTGGAAATGATTAGCACGATATAGCACGATACCCAAAACCATCTGCCATCCAACTGCTGGTGTCTGAGGGCAACTGCCGCTCTTGCTATCCTCACATCCAGGGACAGAATTCGATAGTCAGAACAAATCTTTGGGACGCTCCGGTACTCTAAACTGGCGATGACAATTCGTGAAATTGTATCGATTTCCCAATGATTTTCCAAGAAAAACGTGGGATCTTCGACTGCCCGGTTGGATTTGGAAGGTCTTTGTTTCTCTGTTTGAGCCGCCTTTTCTTCAGCTTCAGGCCGTACCTTGCAACATGCTGCCACCTGGCCCGCGTGGAAGCACAAACTGTTTCAACCCTCTGTTGAATGGAGGTTTAAAGTTGAAAGCGTCAAAAATTGGGACGCAACCAAGAAATATCGGTGAAAAAACATCAGAGAGAAATACATGAAAACTGGGGGTGTAATAAAATAACCAACCAAATCCCACATCATTTAAGCCGCCAAACAGAAGCCTTCTGACTACCAGTGACATGAGCAGTGCAAGTCGTTGAGGGGCTGCCCTCCGAGGTACGGCCCAGCGCAGACACAGCGGCAGGTTTCGGTGGGGGTATTCACATTTATTCACCATTGTTTCGCCCAAGACTCCCCTTAAAATCCCTTAAACATCCTTAAACCCAGTGAATCACAGTGAATCATCTTTCAGCTTTGGTTGCGAGGCACCTGTGGCGCTGCCTCTCCATCCTTCCATGCCCGCTGCACCGGTGCCTCTACGCGCGCCGTCGCGAGACGCGCCGCTGAACGCGGGGGTGCGCACGCCGCCGCTGCCGATGCCTGTGTGGCAACCAGTGCCGAGCGGTCGCACCGATGCGGCTTGGATGTCTTGGTTGATGCCCAAGAGAGCTTCAACCGGCAGATCTTCAGACCTGGTAATATTATGGCCCATCAAAAATGACATCAAAATTCTACGTCAGCACATCCGCAAAAAACATAGATTAAGAGCAACTGTTTAGTTATGTCATTGTATTATCAAGCAAGGTAAATAAAGTATTGCTGTAATTATACAAATGCCTATATTTTATGGATTCATATTGCCTATCATATTATCATGTATATATATATATATATAATTGATATATAATTGTATATATATATATATACTTATGAGTCACGTGCCCCCAATATATCCTAATATTAAACTACACCTCCAGAAACCATGGTGGATGTAGGGAAATTACATATTCGGCACCGTTGAGGGTGTGTTTAATATGTTTTATTTAACAGCCGTTACCGGTAAAGTCGAAAACGGACCATTTAAAATTATAGAGGGATTACATTACATTGAATTACGTACAAAAAATGGTGATTTTCCATAGAGGGTACTGGGCCCAATGTTCCAATCTATGGCCCCTGGTCATCCCAGGTTTCAGTCTCTCCAGTCTCTCCCATCGCGACGCCAGCGGCAGCAGCGAAGCAAAGCCCCACGTTGACGGTGCTGATCCGGGACTTTGAGATGTCGCTGGGGCCAGATGGGGAGGTGATTCACGGGGTGATGGGATGGGGATGGGATGTGGTAAATCCATAGATGTTTATCCTATGCCACACAACTACTAAACTCCGTTTTGAAAAATGTGTTCAGTTCATTTTGAATCCAATTTTCGAAGGTTTGTGATGAGCCTTAGAATGGTAAGAGTGGGTATGGCGTAGTAGGGGTGCTATCCAATATACTGCACCAAGTACACGATGTCTTTGCCACATAAATGCATTATTTAAGCGGAATTCACACAATTGGTCTTCTTCCAACATAATTTTTTTGACAGCAAAATGCATGACCGTGGACGGAAGATAGAGCGAACTATTGGCAAGTAGTAAGCAGTTGTTTTTTCATGTGAACAGATGAGCTCCAAGGGTTGGAACAGTTGGAACACGTTGAAGCCAGCCGAGGACTGCCAACCTGCCTTCAGATTGGGTGTCTGATCTCAGTAAGGAACTTATCGTGACTTCCTGCATCGCTTGGGGTGCTGAGATGTGCTGAGATGTGCTGAGCATTCTGTTTAAAACATTTCAAACAGCAATTTGCAATAGATCAGTTGGATGGAGGCAGATTTCTTCCATCATCTTCCATCAATTGCACTGACAGTGAAGAATCATGTGCCCTGTGCCAGGCAAGCCATACTTGATCGTATTTGTTCAATTTAACACATCAAAAATCAGAATCAATGTTTGATGTGAGATTTTGATGGCGCGAGGGAGAAAGATCATACAGAGTCCGAGGTTTTTGATACAAATTTGGTGTTATACGCAATCGCCGCATCGCATTAGTATTTTTTATGTTGGAGGTGTTCAAGTCAAACAGCACTGAATGATACTGGATGAGCGCATTGTGATGCATTTTGAACCACTATAAAATCAACATAAAATCCAGGTCCACCTTATATCGTCATGCCTGCCAAACAGCTCCACTATAAAATCATAAACCAGGTTCCCCAATATTGAGCATCCACATGGTTAAATAGACTTTGTAAAACCACCATTTGAAAATTCTAATTTTATAGTGGGCCAGGTGGATGACTTTAAGATACTCTAAGCTCTCTAAGGGGAAAAAGGTGTTTCAACTCTAACCCTGTCCCTAGATTTTATAGAGATTTGGTTTTTACAAGCAGGCATTTGTAACTATTTGGTGCTCTGATTTTTCTTGATTTTATAGAGACGTATTTCTTGCAATCTTCTTGATTTTATAGTGATTATTTGTGTATGCACCCATATGGTGGAACCCAGGTACCTCTATAGAATGGGGCACATTGGGTGACACTTGAAATTCACAAGCGGATGATATATATATATATCTATGTCTATCTCCATCTCCATCTCTGTCTCTATCTCTATCTCTCTCTCTCTATCTCTCTATCTCTCTATCTCTCTATCTCTCTAACTCTCTCGATCTATCTATCTATCTACCTACCTACCTATCTATCTATCTGTCTGTCTATCTATCTATCATATCTATCTATCTACTATCTATCTATCTATCTATCCTATCTATCCTATCCATCCTATCCATCCTATCCATCCTATCCATCCTATCCATCCTATCCATCCTATCCATCCTATCTATCCTATCTATCCTATCTATCCTATCTATCCTATCCATCCTATCCATCCTATCCTATCTATCCTATCTATCCTATCTATCCTATCTATCCTATCTATCCTATCTATCCTATCTATCCTATCTATCCTATCTATCCTATCTATCCTATCTATCCTATCTATCCTATCTATCCTATCTATCCTATCTATCTACCTATCTTATCTATTTATTTATCTATCGATCTATCTTATCTTATCTAATCTAATCTAGTCTAGTCTAATCTAATCTATCTATCTATCTATCTTGACTGGTATATAGATATTCCATTGGTCTATCATAGTATATTCCATTAGAATTATTTATAGATAGATAGATAGATAGATAGATAGATAGATAGATAGATACGTCCAACTATTCCATTAGATATATACTAATTATTTATTCCTTGGGTCGCTGGGCAGCCCAACTATGCATTTCCCCAAGGTTGCTGTGCCAGCCTGGCCGAACACATCTTGATGGTGGTCTCTGAATTGGTCCAGGGGCCCATTTGGCGTCATTTTTCTGGGTGAAATGAGGGTTTCCATAAATGGGGCTACCCCAAAATAGATGGTTTATAGATGTTTACAGTGGAACATCCTATTGAAATATATTGAAATGGATGATCTGGCAGTCTGGGGGTACCCCCATTTCAGGAAACCTCCAAATCACCATGACAAGGAGATCTGTAACATATGCAACCAGGTATCACCCAGCTAAAAACATCTAAGAAACTATCAACCAAGAATGAGGCAACTGTCAACGATACATAGATTTATCAGCCAAAAAAAAACTGTTGAACCATCAACTTTAGCATCAATCAACTACTTTCGAGTGACTACTACTTGGAATGAAGTATCAAGTAGTATCAAGTATCCACCAACCATCAAGAACTGGAATGATATAAATATGAACCAATCTATTTTTTCAGAACAGCATCAACTACTTTATCAGATTTTACCAGCAACAAGCCACAAGTCATGACTTCCTAGGCCCAAGGTCTTCGAATTCTTGTCTCCTTGGAGCCTTCGGGTCCAAGTGTGCCAGTGCTCCTTGGCCGCCTTCGGGGCACCGGCCGAGCCTGTAGCTTCATCCACGTGTTCGGCCATGGAGAGGTCCAAAGAAGTGAAAAAAAAAGTCACCAATACTCACCAATAGATCAATAGATCAATAGATATTTCAGAAATGATTGTTTTTGTTTTTGGGTCCCTAAACTCGGAAAAATAATTGGGGGATGTGCTCATCCATATCTTAAGCATCACAGGGTGGCGATGTTTCAACACAGCCACCTCTTAGGCCGAGGACGGGACGCGAAGATCCAGCATGGCATCAGGCAAGGTACCTTTGGATGATCTGAGGATTGTTGCTGCAAATGATCTGAGTTAGTTGGCTCGTGTCGTGTGGTCGTTTGTGTGGTGTCCTTTGCAATTTGTACCTTGAGGGTGTGAGCCCGCGATATGGGCACATAGCAACCGTGTTTCTGACTCCGTGTGTGTACGTCAAGATCAATCACGACAAAAGGAAGTGGGTGAAAATTCCCCAGAAAGACCATTACCTGGTTGCAACTTGTGTGGAGCCATGCTTCTCCATCAGGTCTATGGTAACTATCAGGAACTCCTTGCCGAAGCACTTCAACTGTCCAATGCTGACAGCGTTGCTCAGCGCCAAATGCCAGTCAGCAAGTCTTTGCTCCATTTGAACCAGTTTGTGCCAAAAACAACTGAGAGACATAAATTTCCTTGATTGCTGGGTGCACCAGGTAAAGTTGGTAAATTTTAAAGATCCAACTTTTCATTGCAACTTTTGAAAGGTAGAGGACAATCAATCTGCAGTGGGTATGACCAAGTATCATCCCAATCTAGGCTTTCACCGAGATCTTCCTATCCACCAGGGCGAACCCAAGTGTGTAGGTCCCACAATGTAGGTACGTGCACCAGCAAGTGCAAGGTCACCAAAACACTTCTGCTTAAAGCAAAAGATGAATCGTAGATTCTTGGGGTCCCCAACGGTCAGACATTCCACAATCAACCATTGTTCCATGACATACCACTGACTGGATCATCTCCCATTCTTTTTGGTGAAGAATGCTCAGACATGCTCAGATTCCAATTTTCCAGTAGGCTCGATCAGATAGATAGATAGATATATATATATATATATATATATATCCGCAGAATACTTTCAAACCCGTGTTTTGGATGTGTTTTCTTCTTGGGGCAAACCTGGAGTAGTTTTAGGGAATCGGCTGTCTCGCCGCCCTGGAACTGTCGACATGTTTTTTTTTCCTCTCCACCCTGAAAGCCAATTGTTGAAAACGTAGGTTTTTTTTGTGTGTTTATCATTTTTGGAATCAAATGCGTGTTCCAATTTTATAGTGCGTGTTCCAATTCAAAATGAACGAAAGAGTATCGCCTCTGAGGCAATTTTTTTGATCACATCCAAAAAACTAGAAATGTGACCATATGACCATATGTTAGCATAGCATCTAAGGTATCCGCAAGCGTAGCAACAGATCACTGAGCGCACTGTAGCATAGAACATCTGTTAGCGTAGCATCATAACTTAACC